GAAGTTTGTGAGGTTAAAGTTAAAACTATCTAATCAAGTATTTCATAGTCTGTAAATTGTATTTTGTGGAGAGCCATTACTGCGCTTTGTACTTTTGTCCACAAACATGTCTCTGAACATCCCATCATGTCTGAATTCAACCAGTTTTCTCGAGTTGAAATGAGGACACAAACACTCACGCTCACACTTAAAATTACACCAGTGGACGTCAAATAAAGGATGAATATTCATGATGAATTATCATCCTGGCAGTGAGCGTGTTGAGATTTAAAATGGTCTGTGTAAACATGTGGAAGAGGCACTGAGAATGTGGATAATGCTTGTCTAAACACGCATTGATGTAATGAAACATACATTTTCTCATATATTCAGGGGTTTTTCTCTTTCATTTGAGGATTCACACGAGAGAATTCTCCCTCTTTGCATAAATATATATATATTTTTACATTGAGGTCATGCATATTGAATAACTTATAAGGAACATTTTCTTTGTGTCTCATACTGGAGCTCACGTGTACCTGTTGTTACACACACATGAGGAAATGTGTGTGTGTGTGTGTGTGTGTGTGTGTGTGTGTGTGTGTGTGTGTGTGTGTGTGTGTGGTGTGTGTGTGTGTGTGTGTGTGTGTGTGTGTGTGTGTGTGTGTGTGTGTGGTGTGTGGTGTGTGTGTGTGTGTGTGTTGTGTGTGTGTGTGGTGTGTGTGTGTGTGTGTGTGTGTGTGTGTGTGTGTGTGTTGGTGTGTGTGTGTGTGTGTGTGTGTGTGTGTGTGTGTGTGTGTGTGTGTGTGGTGTGTGTGTGTGTGTGTGTGTGTGTGTGTGTGGTGTGTGTGTGTGTGTGTGTGTGTGTGTGTGTGTGTGTGTGTAGGATATTTCTTACTCTTGGTAAACATCCTGGTGGGACACAGATGGCGGGAAACAATGGGCTGGATCTTAGCAGAGTTTTTATTTGACAAGCATTTGAAGTGCTACACCGGTGTTTTTGCATGTTTACAATCATATATACCTTCATTCCCCCCTGACCTATTTACAAAATGGTTTGTGTTGTCCTGCTTATTTCACAGTAGGAACATCTACTTGGGCAGAGGTAGAGGTAATCTATTACTGAGAAGAGTATGTTTAGAGAAGAATAATCTATATTTTCTTAAGATGTCCATAATACCTGTTTTGTTTTTTATGACTGTAAAGGTTTTGGACAGTCGGAACAAGACTTTCGAAAATGACACATTACATTACATTACATTACATTGCATTTAGCTGACGCTTTTGTCCAAAGCGACTTACAATAAGTACATTCGACCAGGAAGACACAACCTTGAAGAAAACAGAATCATATAAGTACATCAGGTTTCATAGAGCCAAACATTTCAAGTGCTACTCAACTGGCTTTAGGTAATCCAGTCCTTTATTAGTATAAAAGTGCTTCGTTAATAGTTCTATCGCTCGAAGTGGAGTCGAAAGAGATGAGTTTTCAGTTTGCGCCGGAAGATGTGCAAGCTATCTGCCGTCCTGATGTCAATGGGGAGCTCATTCCACCATCTTGGAGCCAGGACAGCAAACCCACGTGTTTTTGCCGATGGGAACTTGGGTCCCCCTCGCAGCGAGGGTGCAGCGAGTCGTTTGGTTGATGCAGAGCGTAGTTGCACGCGCTGGGGTGTACGGTTTAACCCATGTCCTGGATGTACGAAGGGCCAGATCCATTCGCAGCACGGTAAGCAAGTACCAGTGTCTTGAAGTGGATTCTAGCAGTTACCGGAAGCCAGTGAAGGGAGCGGAGGAGCGGAGTGGTGTGGGAGAATTTAGGAAGGTTGAAGACCAGACGAGATCTCATTCTGGATGAGCTGCAGAGGTCGGATGGCACATGCAGGTAGACCAGCCAGGAGGGAGTTGCAGTAGTCTAGGCGTGAGATGACGAGAGCCTGGACCAGAACCTGAGTCGCTTTCTGTGTCAGCTGGGGACGTATCCTCCTGATGTTGTAAAGCGTGTATCTGCAGCAGCGGGTTGTAGCAGCGATGTTTGCAGTGAAGGACAGGTTGTTATCTAGGGTCACACCCAGATTCCTTGCAGTCTGAGTCGGGGAAACAACTGAGGTGCCGATGTTGATTGTTAGGTCAAGAGTGGGACAATCTTTTCCCGGGAGGAAGAGCAGCTCAGTCTTGTCAAGGTTGAGCTTGAGGTGGTGAGCAGACATCCACTGAGAGATGTCAGCTAGACAAGCAGAGATGCGTGCAACGACCTGGGTCTCTGAGTGGGGAAAGGACAGAATTAATTGGGTGTCGTCGGCGTAGCAGTGGTAAGAAAAACCATGCGGGCTAATGACTGATCCGAACAAGAACAGAGCCCTGAGGGACCCCTGTAGTTAATTGACAAGGGTCGGACTCAGACCCTCTCCAAGTCACCCTGTAGGTACGGTCTTTCAGGTATGAGGTGAGGAGGGAAAGTGCAGAGCCTGAAACTCCATGTTTTTGGAGAGTGTGAAGGAGGATCTGATGATTCACCGTGTCGAATGCAGCAGACAGGTCCAACAGGATGATGACAGAGGAGAGGGATGCAGTTTTGGCAGTGTGCAGTTCCTCCGTGACAGCAATGAGAGCAGTTTCTGTGGAGTGACCTGCCTTGAAACCAGACTGGTGCGGATCCAGAAGGTTGTTCTGATTGAGATAACAGGAGAGTTGTTTAAAGACAGCGCGTTCAAGTGATTTAGACAGGAACGGGAGGAGAGAGACAGGCCTGTAGTTTATAACATCAGACGGGTTGAGAGTAGGTTTCTTTAGGAGAGGGTTTACTCTTGCCTCCTTGAGACTGTTTGGAAAGTGACCAGAAGTTAGAGAAGTGTTGATGAAGTGGGTGAGAAACGGTAGAATATCAGGAGCGATAGTCTGAAGGAGGTTTGAAGGGATAGGGTCCAGAGGACAGGTGGTAGGGCAGGCAGAGGTAATGAGGGTAAGAACCTCACTTGGAGAGAGAGGGGAAAAGGAGGTAAGTGTGTTGGTGGAAGGAAGGTCTGGTGACCCAGCGGTGAGTAAAGGTGAGTCAGAAAAAGAAGAGCGAATATCATCAGCCTTTTTTTCAAAGTGGGTAACAAAGTCGCTTGACAGAAGTGAGGAGGGGGGAGGGGCTTTTGGAGGGTCCAAGAGGGTGGAGAAGATGGAAAATAGTTTTTTAGGATTGGAATAGGAAGATTGGATCTTATCTTGAAAGAAAGTGATTTTTGCCTGAGAGATCGAAGCAGAGAAAGAGGAGAGGAGAGCCTGATAGGTTAGGAGGTCGTCACGGTGTTTGGATTTCCACCGTTTCCGCTCTGCTGCCCTAAGGACGGTTCTATTAGCACGCAGTGCATCATTTAGCCAGGGAGCAGGAGGGGACTGACGAGCCTGCCGAGATGTGAGAGGACAGAGCGAGTCCAGAGTGGATGAGAGAGTAGAGAGGAGAGTTTCTGCAGCAGAGTTTGGAGGCAGGAGATGGAACGAATCAGAGGAAGGGAGGGCTGAGAGCACCGACGAGGCAAAGGTAGAGGGGGAGAGGGAGAGGGAGCGAAGGTTACGGCGGACAAGTGCAGGGTGAGAAGAGATTAGTTTGTTATGTTTGGAAAGGGATAGAGAGAATGAAATGAAGAAGTGATCGGATGTGTGGAGCGGGTTTACAGAGAGGTTAGAAGTAGTGCAGTTCCTTGAGAATATGAGATCAAGGACATTGCCAGCTTTATGAGTCGGTGGGGACACATTTGGACATTGCAGTTATTTTCCTAATGTTTAATCTTCGCAGTAGTTTACAAATGCCTAATTTTTGCATTTCAGTCTCTGAACATGCTGCTGGTCTTTGTCTTATGATTTAGAAAAATGTCCTATAGGTTTTTATTTATTGTACAATTTGAAGATGTGAATGTGGGAATTGCAGTTGTCGTTTTTCATTGTATTCCTGACATTGTATCGAACAAATGGTCAATTAATCGAATAGTTAATCAGTATATTAATCAATAATTCTACAGTTGGTTTGTAGCTCTAACTGTGGTGGTATTTTTTCCTTTTGTATGCATTAATCACAAAAAATAACAGATTCACTGATATTGAAGAGTGTTGTTGTTGGTTGTCTCTTTGTCAGTGCTATTCCGTGCAAACTTAAAGGTCACCTATCATGCTATTTTTAGGCAATAGCATAGGTCTCAGATATATAAAAAACATGTCTATGAAGTGTTTTGCTCAAAATACCAAACAGATCACCCATTCTAGCCATGCCTCATATCCCTCTATTTCACTTGCTGTTTCTAAAGTGCTGATTTGGGAATAAAGGTTTAATAAAGGAGGGGTCTGAGCTCATGCGGGACCCGGCAGCTACTGTCTAAACTAAATACTGCCGTGATGAAACGCTATATCATGGATTATCAAGGATTCTCTCTGAAACAGTTTGGAGCTCAAAGGCTTTCTCTCTTGCCGGTTATACCAGAAGGCAGAGTCCTGTATCGGGTCGGGTACCCGCGGGTGGTATTTTTTCAAATGCTTTTTTCCGGGTTCGGTTCTGGGTAAAACAAAGATGGTCGGGTCGCGGGTATTGCATAATAAATATATTAAAATAATAATAATTTAGTTTAATGTTTAAATCCTCAGACCTCTCCCCCGCGGGACCGCGCATAATCATAACCTCTGCAGCGCATCAATCTGCTGCTGAGCGCGCCACATTCAAAATGGCTGAGGTGGAGCTCTCTAGCGGAGAATACAGCATTTTCAATAACACTTCCTCAAGAGCGAAATCCAACGTCTGGAAGGCTTTTGGTTCCTAGATGGAGGAAATAACCAACATCCCACGCTTTTTGAGACAAATATGCAACTGCGTGTGTTAATAATTGCACGTTTTCACTGCTCATAGGCTATGCGGGTTCGGGTCGGGTTGCGGATCTTGTGCCGACGTGTCGGGTCGGGTTGCGGAACTAATTGGCAATATGTGCGGGTAGCGGGGCGGGTTCTGTATTGCACGTCGCGGGTGCGGGACGGGAGCGGGTCTTGAAAATCAGACCCGTGCAGGACTCTGCCACAAGGTGAGTTCCTTTTTACTTCCTGCTTCTTCACACACATGCTCTCCAGTACAGGTTAGCTCTGAGTGTTAGCGATGCTAATGTGAACACCGCCCATATTACGTCCAAAACAGTCGGGCATTGTTTCTGATAGCAACGTTTCTGATTGGGCCGTGGGTCCACATTTCAGATATTACGTCATATCGGACGCAAATCTGGATCAGCTCCGTTGTTCCCCGTTTTTAGAGATTTGGGTACGGAGGAAAAGAGAGAGGGTTTTATTTTCTGACGCTGCGTGAGTTCCCCGACACACCGGGGACACATGTTTATGTATAAAAGACATCACAAAGTGCATTTTGCACGATAGGTCCCCTTTAAGAATTAGTCAGCTCTAAATATTAACATAATATTAACATACAAGACACGTTGAGGTGATGCAGATGTAAAACCATTAAAGTGACTAACAGCTGTTTGAAATGCTGTTGTCGTGAGAGCGTTGAGGTTTCTTGCATAAGATGTGCTTTCACAATGTTCCCTGGTGGATTAGGTGGTTATTTAATTAAGGTTAATTGGTTTGTTTGGTTTGTTTGTTATTGTAGTTTACCAGATTAGAATTAGAGAGTATTAGAGATTAACCTTTCTGTCCATACAGCAGTGTGTGTGTCCATCAAATAACATTTGAAAACACACAGTAATCTCATGGTTTCAATTGTATGTTTTAGCAGTAGGGGAATTTTTTGTAATACACAGAAGTGGAAAATGTAACTCATTTCTGGTGTCCTAATATGCCAAGAAACAATACAAGAGCAGTTAAATAATTAATAACTGTGCATTTTAACTTTATTGTAAACCCTGTTTTTACACAGAAACTCAAAACAAACCCAGTTACGTCTCAGCAAGCCCTCTGTAAATGCAATGAGATTCATTTGGTTCGGATCATTTATGAATGCAGAAAACTCACAATTTATAGAGAGAGAATTATTGCAGCAGTCTCTAAAACAAAGCAAGTTAAATCTGTTTAAAACTGAAGGTTGTGAGATGTTTCTGATATTGTATGGAGGCCTTCTTGCAAATGACCCGCTATTAATGTGATAAGAAACTTCATTGACAATATTTCATTAAAGAATTTTACTGATTTTAAGATTTGTTGAGAAACATTAATTGACCAAAGTTATGCAAGTTGAATTAATATGACAATATTTGTGTAATTCTTAAGAATTTAATTAGGATAAAACTGATCCTAAATTTGACTTTATGTGGATGCATCATGCTGACACAATAAGAGCAATGTCCTCAGCAGGACGTGCATGCTGCTTCAACACGAACAATAATAATAATTTGCTCTTATCATACATGTTACTTTTTCATATTTAAAAAATGTGTTCACATAACACATATAAATATAATCGACTAGTCTGAGAGTGCTCTGAAGCCGTATACATTGTGTTGGTGCTGTCCTATATAAAGAGGGAGGGCCTCAGCAGCAGTGACTGAGCAGCTTCTGATGGGCCGTACCAACTCAGAGAGCGGGGGGGGGGGGCAGGGCTGTGTGCACGAGCAGTGTGGGGATCATGTGTGGACAATTAATTGTTGTTTTGCCTTTGTTGACATTAAACACTAATGCAAGTACAGCATTAATATACATGTATGTATTAAACGGGGTGAGACAGCATCAACACTGCTGCATTTCTGTAAATAAAATGTATTCATCTTATTTCACAGAAGGATGCAACAAAGACATTAATAAAAAATGATGTTGTTGTTTTTTTTTTGTGAAAATGAGTCCAAAATAAATATATATCATACATTTTGAAAACATAGACACATTCAATACTGAGAAAGTCATGAAAATTCTATTAAAAAATATAATATAATTTGTTATGACTGGAAAGAATAACCAATATTGTATCTTGATGTTTTTGTTTTTTTTCAATGCCGATAAAACACATGTTCAAACACATCTTGCAACTGATTGATAAACAAATGTCATTTAATTAATATATATTGTAATTAAATGTCTAATAAAGAATATTAAAAAAACACGACCAATCCCTAGAATTTCTACCCTTTAGTTTTCCATCGGTACCAATGTATGAACTCTGGGAATTGGACCAGTTAATATTCTACATTCATCGCAGTATCTCCAGACTGAAATAATGTATCTTCTAAATAAAGAAAATGGAAGGTAGTGAAAGTGTGTATATAGAATAGGTAGCTCACATTACAATGTATGATAATCAACGTTATGTCAGTCTCGCCTTTCTTCCCCCATTTCCTCCCTTTCCTGGTAATCCTCCTCCCTTCTCTCTACCTGGTGGTCTCTTCCTCACTCCCCTCCCACCCCCCGCAAGCCATACATTAAGGGTGTGTGCACGTGTGTGTGTATCAGTATAGCGTGTGGAATGAGAAAAACCGAGGGGCGGAGAAAAGAAAAAAGACAAAGATATTTGGATGCCAGGCGGTTGTTATGGAAAGCCACTGGAGGAATTTGGCTTCCTCTTTGGAGAATGAAGGCTCGGTCCTCCACCGTACATCACATAGAGTAGGTAGAAGGGGGGGGGGCTATTTATTTGTAATAGAAATGTGTTATTAATTCTTGAGGGATTCGCTAATTACAGGCGTAATGATGTAAAGGATATTTTTGTTCTTACTTCCATACTTACATCCGATTGTTAATTTAATGAGATTAGTTGTTTTGTTTGTTTATGTGTGTTGTGTTTATGCGGCTATAGTGTGTGGACATGTGAGTTTGACTGTATGTGTGGAGCCCTGGAAAAATAGTGAAAGTAAGAAACACGATGCTGGCCTGGTCTACAGGTGTGTGGAATATTTGTATGCCCATGTGTGGAGATGTGTTTGAGGCTTATAAGTCACATTTCACTTTCACAAGACGTTAGGGGTGCTCGATTTGAAATTGTAATTATTTTGACTTTGTAACACTCACATTTCTATTGGCTAGCACTCCAACACATTGTACGTGATAGGCTAAGGGGCGGGACATCTCTAAGAGGTTGACCAATCACAACAGAGCCGGCCAGCTAACCAATCATGCAGCTTTCACATCAGCGCTTTTTCCATTCTAGCTCCGTGCTAGAGCTTTTCTGGTTCAACTTTGTTCACACCACACAGTCGGGGTGGTACTGCGTCATTGCCTCATCGTTTGCGTCATGACGTAACCGTTTACGTGCCTGCTTCATAAAAGCCAAACCGCGCGGAAATCCCTCACATCGACAACAACAACAATGGCCGATTGTATTGAAGCGCTGTTCGCTTTGGTTATGCTCTTACGAAATGGAAGGCATGGATCGACTTTACTTGGAACTTTACAAACATCACATGCGAAATTCAAGACTTCTTTGCGGTCTTCAGGAGTTTGATCCCGCCCATGCCCCTGCCCCCGCCTCGACGTAAGAGAGACGTAAGCGGCGCCGCCTCTTAGCTCCGGAATGTTGCTTGCTAGACCGACAATTTGAGAGATGACTCTTTAAAGTAGAGACACTACACACTGATATACACCTGAACATCAGCAGGAGAGGACTCTTTAAAGTAGAGACACTACATACTGATACACACCTGAACATCAGCAGGAGAGGACTCTTTAAAGTAGAGACTACATACTGATATACACCTGAACATCAGCAGGAGAGGACTCTTTAAAGTAGAGACACTACATACTGATATACACCTGAACATCAGCAGGAGAGGACTCTTTAAAGTAGAGACACTACATACTGATATACACCTGAACATCAGCAGGAGAGGACTCTTTAAAGTAGAGACTACATACTGATATACACCTGAACATCAGCAGGAGAGGACTCTTTAAAGTAGAGACACTACATACTGATATACACCTGAACATCAGCAGGAGAGGACTCTTTAAAGTAGAGACACTACATACTGATATACACCTGAACATCAGCAGGAGAGGACTCTTTAAAGTAGAGACACTACATACTGATATACACCTGAACATCAGCAGGAGAGGACTCTTTAAAGTAGAGACACTACATACTGATATGAACCAGGAAATGAGCAGAACAGGTCCTCTTTAATCAATGTTTGATGAGATACATGAGAGAGAGCTGCAGATTGTTCACATTATTAGCATCAGTTGCTATATTGTGACTCATTGTACTGCAGGACTCCTGCTATTACTCAGCTTAGTTCACCCCATCATGTATGTTCTTAATTTCTAATACAGCATAATTGGAAGGAAGTATGACCAAGTGTAATGCCTCGATGGTAAATGCTCTCCAGGTGGGAGGAAGTGTTTTTAATGAAGCATAATCACAATAGAGGGTAACAGAAAATCCCAGAAATATAATGACGGCTGTTGAAAGGCTTGTGGTGCTCGGCTAACGAGTTGATCGAGCGTACTTAATCCAGTGTTTCTTCACTGCGTATAGGATCATTGTTAGGCATGTTTTCACAGCATGAAGCCGCAGCGAGAGCATGTGCATGAGTTTAGATTTATAAATAAAATATACGGTATTTCCTGGTACATCATGAAAAATAAGCACTGTGTGTTATTCTCTTTTCCATCAATAAACTGTTCCTGTGTTGACAGAGGTACACGGGCATGCTTAAGACTCGTCAACATGATAAATGAGCAGCGTTATGATGGCAAGGTCATCCTGGAAACTTACAGCCTCTTTTCTATGTTGACAACTGCTGTCATATTTACTTTATAGCTGTACAAATAATTACAAAAATTACTGAGCCAGGGTTCCCATGTATCCTCAAAAAGTCAGAAAAGGCAATAAATACATTGAATCTAAGAGTAAGGCCTTATTTGGTATTAAAATGTCGTAAATCTATCTTTCAAAGATATGAAAAAGACAAGGACAGTAGGATTTTATTAACGCGAGTCCAGGAAACTCTGCAAAGCACCTCTTAAAATACTGTTTTACAGTCTACATTTTAAATATATGATTAGTGCAGTATTTTATTTACTTCCACTAGTCTTTACTAACTGTACTCTTAAGGTTCTTACACACCAAGCCGATGTCTGGCCGTCGATG